ATAGCTAAAATTGAATCATTAAAGACCCTTCTTGGTTCCTCCGGCAGCAAATGAAGATGTACTACAGGTAATTTGGGAGAAAGGAATATGAGGTCATTCACCTTTGAATCAATCATCTGCTAAATCAAGATAACTCTACTTTCAATATAAAATGTATGTAGTAATGCCAATACCCCACACCCTGCTGTACTCCTCAGCTACTCTGTACTGTGCTATGCTATACCACACAAACACACACGCACACACACATATATATACACACATACTGTGTCTTTGGTGTTTTGCATAGATGTTCATGCTTCTTCTGGATATAGACAATGTGTCAGAGTTGAGTAGGTTTTGAAGGAATTCCTCATTAAAGCATATTGGTTCACTCCAGTAGAGATAATCTGTGTCAGAAATAGAGATCAGTACAGTGCATTGTACAAAATATCTGAACTTGTGATTTTGCAGTTTAAAAAAAAAAAAGTTTAGATATACTTTGCCTAATAAGCAACAGGATATATATTTCATGGATTACTTTATTAGATATGTGGCTTGTTATATATTAGAATTGTGAATTCAAGGGTTTTATTTTAAATCACATAATACCAGGAGAGTTCTTTTCCCTCAAAGTTTTCAAATGGAGATTTTTAACTATGCTGAGATTAGAAAAAGTTTGAAAATGCATCTCAAGGATGTCCAACAGGTGAAAACAACAAAAGAAAGAAAAACCAAAAAATGGTGGTTCTCTATCTGTAACACTGAAGTCACCTCCGTGATGCAGGGTAGGAGCACGTTTTCTCATACTCTTCATCTATGAAACTAGCAGAATTCCTTCAACATCACATCTCAGGAGATATATTCTAAACCTGTGATGATTCTTGCTGCTTTCTTTTGGGCAGCCTTATTTTGCATCCATCCATCCTTCTTGATCTAGAGTTTCCAAAGTTGTATTATAGCAGAAGCCTCAACATTTGGGGGTGGGGGAGGGAAGATAAATTCCAATGACTTCCCATGTACTTTCTCATATTATTGTAATCTGCTATAATCCTTAGAGACTTTTCCATAGAAATTTTATTTTGGCAGTAAGATTCCCCTTGGGACATTTACTCAGTTCATTATGTTAGCCCAGTGGGGCACTTGACATTTATTTTTATTGGATAGTGTCCTTTTATTCTAGACTTTATCTCCAATTTTTAACATTCACTTTGAATTCTAATCGTGTTCTCCAGTGTGCTAGAAGTCTGTTCCTGAATTGTTTTATGTACAGTGTAATAAATATATCAATTTGTGCAGTCAATTTCCAAAAAGTGCTTTGATCTGTGTCTGGTGAAACTTACTTACTGACCCTGACCATCTCCTCAGTTTTTCAAAATCTTTGTGAATAGTGATTCTCTTTACAAGATGCCTGCTGTTCCTTCTGATTAAAAATGTTTCATTTTCTATTCAGTCTCCTACATTATTCAGCTAAAACTTATTAGGTTTGGTTTCTTTTATTTTGGACTTATAAAAGGATTTTGTAAAGATCATACCTGTTTTGAAATGAGTCTTTCTAAGTGGAAAAAGTGAGTTCTCGGAATTGTCTTCCTTTTTCCTTCCTAGGAGACATTATTTTCTTTCACCACTGGCAGAGTACCATTTGCAGACACCAGTATTCTTTTCTAAGTACCATCTGTGTTGCTGCCCACTCTCAGCATCTCTTGATGGTTATGGAGCACTGACAGCCCGTGAGCTGAAATCATGAGTCACCTATTGTTTGGTATTATAATCAGATACTCAAAACCAGTTCTGTGCTCTGTAATATATACCCAAATCCACTAAGTCTAGACAAAGATCCTGAAAACAGTGAGGAATGTATTTCATCAAACCTCATGTTTGTGTGGGATTTCCTCTGTTTCTCTGAGACTCCTTCCCTTCTCCTACATATTTCAGTAGGAGGAATTAAGTCACAGTCCATTTGAAGATTTTTAACTACTATAACTCTGGAATTATCCCTCATCAGATGTTTCAGAAGGAGGTGGTAAAGTAAAAGTAATTGCCCTACAGCACATCAGCAATTCTGTAGTTAATATAAACAATTAAATAGTTTATGTAAATTGTGATTTAGATTGCAATCCTTTAATCCCATCTCTGGTATTTGTTTTGGTGCAAGTTCTTTAAATTTAATGTCTCTCATACTTTCAATGTATGTTTCTGAAGTCATGTAGCTTCACAAAAAGTGTTATGAGGACATTAGTATCCTTTTAGAATTCTGTGAAGAAAATCAAAATTAAATTTCATTTCAGGAAGTCAGAAAAGCATAAGAAATACAGGAACTACATCTTTTCATGCAGGGAGATCATAGTGGGAGTTGAACAGTTTAAAACATAAGATGTGACAGAAAGCTAAGTTAGACTGCCAGTGATCAAATGGAAAGGGAAATGTTTAACAAAAACCAAATATTATTAGCTGGTCTCTTTATGATAAAGCATTAGAAAATCTGATACTGCAAAGAAGTTGTAAAAATTTTCCCTGACATTTTTTTGTTGTTCACCGGCTCCTTCACGCACCATAGCCTATTTTCCATATGAATCACTGAAATATTACCTGGTTTATGGAATCTTAGAGGAAGTGTCCCGGTAATGATGCTCCTGTGATGCAGGCTTCATTGTGCTATATGGAAATAATCTGATTATTAAGGATTGAAGCTTTCATGAAAAAAAACAAACCTTCCCTTCTCCTACATATTTCAGTAGGAGGAATTAAGTCACAGTCCATTTGAAGATTTTTAACTACTATAACTCTGGAATTATCCCTCATCAGATGTTTCAGAAGGAGGTGGTAAAGTAAAAGTAATTGCCCTACAGCACATCAGCAATTCTGTAGTTAATATAAACAATTAAATAGTTTATGTAAATTGTGATTTAGATTGCAATCCTTTAATCCCATCTCTGACATTTGTTTTGATGCAAGTTCTTTAAATTTAATGTCCCTCATACTTTCAATGTATGTTTCTGAATTCATGTAGCTTCACAAAAAGTGTTATGAGGATATCCTTTTAGAATTCTGTGAAGAAAATCAAAATTAAATTTCATTTCAGGAAGTCAGAAAAGCATAAGAAATACAGGAACTACATCTTTTCATGCAGGGAGATCATAGTGGGAGTTGAACAGTTTAAAACATAAGATGTGACAGAAAGCTAAGTTAGACTGCCAGTGATCAAATGGAAAGGGAAATGTTTAACAAAAACCAAATATTGTTAGCTGGTCTCTTTATGATAAAGCATTAGAAAATCTGATACTGCAAAGAAGTTGTAAAAATTTTCCCTGACATTTTTTTGTTGTTCACCGGCTCCTTCACGCACCATAGCCTATTTTCCATATGAATCACTGAAATATTACCTGGTTTATGGAATCTTAGAGGAAGTGTCCCGGTAATGATGCTCCTGTGATGCAGGCTTCATTGTGCTATATGGAAATAATCTGATTATTAAGGATTGAAGCTTTCATGAAAAAAAACAAATTTCCGTTTACCTTAAAATTATTATATTAGCAATCCAAGGTGCTTCAGGAAACCACACATGATTTATCACAATTTTTAGAATGTGTACTTTCTCAATGCAGATAACTCAAAAACTTTCAAGATGTCAGAACACTGTTACCAGTCTGACAGTATTTTTTCCCCAGCTTTTACTTTCATGCTGAAATGTGGGGGGAAGATACGAAGGCTTCAAGTCCAGGTGTCTCTCCCTTCCTTCTTTCTGTCCCAACAGACTGAGCTTCCCAAATCTATTTTTGTCTTCCTCTCTCCAAGTTTATATATGTATAGGATTTCTCTGCTGTATTGAGATGTGCTGGGGCATTAATCTTGGTTTTTCTGATTGGAGATAAACAGGTCTACAAAGATGCAGACCATTCAAATTGGCAGCTTGATTTTGAATAATGACACAATGAAATTAATACTCAAACACATTCTTCATATTGCTATCACATAGCTTTTTCATAAACCTAAATTTCACTTCACTGTTTCACATCAAACAAAGTGTCTTAGCCGTAGAATGTGCACAGCTTTGCCTTTTCAAATGGACAAGAAGTTTGACTGGAAAAAGGAAAAGAATAAGTAAGTCTTCCCAACATTTCACTGATTGTGTTTGCTTTTAAAGGTAATCTGAAAACTCTTGTTTTGATGCCATGGAATTGATCACAACCTGACCAAATCAGTTTTATCTCTCAAAATTTAAATAACTTCAAACTTATTTTACATTTTTTGTTGTTACTGCAGAGGTTTTACAGTGAACTCTCACTGACCCAGCAAAGTCCATTTCTGAAAGAAAAGACTCATATCTGTTTTAAAATTTTTTATACATAATTTTGTGCTTTAATGCCATACATGAAGTTTGAAGTTTCTGTTTGGTCATAAGCAATTCTATTCCTGCTTTTAAAAAAAATTGGGTTTGCTGCACTTAACTGATTTTTTTTCTTAGGATTTCTTTAAAAATAAAATTAATGGAGCTATTTCTAACTCCCACATGTGAGTTCTGAGAAGCTTTTCAAACAGTTGAATTTTGCTTCAGAATTCAACAGACAACAGTGCATGTTTTCTACCCTATTCTCTAGCTTACACTTGCTTCAAAGAGTGAAGATGGATTTATGATTGATTAAAATAAAGCAGAGTGGAAGAAAGTGTTGGTAGGTATTCAATACACAGAACTCTGAGAAATTGGTGTCTGTGAATGCTCATTAACTGTCAGTGCAGACCATGTGAGGATAGATTAGTTATTTTAGTGCAAATCAGGACAAGTACCAGAAGAATTGCAGTGTAGTGAAATATTTGAAATTTTGCTATTAGATAGGTCATATATGATTAATTTTAAATAAGGAGATTTTATGTTTGGTTTGGAAAATATTAGCACTATTATCAATAGTGCATAATAGGAAAGTAAATAACTTTCTCATATGGCCATTAAAATTTAATTTTTTTTTAAGAAGAGGTCTATTTAAAGTCTAAACATATTTCTATATTGATTTTTTTTTTGTTAGGTTTTTTACCAAAGAAATTATTTATTGAAGCTGTTAGTGACTTGGTTAGTTTGAATCTTGGAATAAATTGCTTTCCTGATGCATGGAAGAACTTAACACTTGCAGATGTAAGTGAAACCCTATATTCTCTTCAACTGGAGTATTGGTTTGTGTAGAAGATGCAGCATTGTCCTTAGTATGATAAAATGAAGATAATAATATTATAAGATATTATCAGTTTTTCTTTACAATTCTTCTGTTTCACTAGGGAAGGATCATGGAAGTCACTGTGCCAGACATTTTGTCAGCACTTCATTTTTTTCCGGTTTGCAAATTATATTAGTTCTTAAGATGCCATCCAAGATTTTCAGATTTAAAAACATGAAAACTTCCAAATCCTCCATACTGAATTAATTTCTCTTTGAGATTCAAACATCAGATATTACTGGCAAACCTACAGAATGAAAATATTTACTTGTGGTAGCATGTTTTAATAACTATTTCTGACAGTAAACCATGATTCACATTAAGATTTTAATTGGATTTCATATGATTTCATCACTTTATTCATATATTCTTTACACAGATGAAGTACATGAGTACATTTTAATGTTAAAGTGGTGTAGTTCCAGAGAGTTTAGTGAAAACTAATCACGTCTGTCATCTTGACTATATAAAACCTAATCTCAGCACAGGAAATTAATTATCCAAGGAAAGCTATCAGTCAAATATTGTCTATTAATAGACCAAATGTGCATGTATCCCATGTTCTGTATTCTTTGAGAACTTTTAGTGTTTATAAATCCTATCTTTATTTTAATAGTAGAATTTTCTTTCCTTAAAATAACCAGTTTTACATGAAACTTTTAAATTTATTGTGGGAGCAAGATCTTACTTACAAAAGGAAATTCTCAAGCTAGGGTATATATAAATGCCTATTTGGGCACTCAGAGTCAACTGAGTCAATGTCAGCTGCACATGGCAGTTGACACACGGTGGCCTGTGACTGATTCTGTTGAGTGAAACCTCACTGCAGAACCCCCAGGAAATACCTAAGGATACATAGGATATTGAAAGACTGTTTATGTACACATTTGACTATATTTGCTGTTTTGGTTTTGTAGTTAGAAAATCTGGCGTCTGAATTCACAGTGAACTCAAAACTCACTGACTGGCGCAGATTCTTGCTGGCAGCAGCACAGCCTTGGCCAGTGCCCTCGGTGACACAACTCCTCCAAACACTGCATGTCTTCAGGTCTGTTGATGTCACTGGATCAGGCTTCATTACACAGGAACACTATTTACAGGTTATAATCCTTTTTTTTGATTTTTTCAATCAAATTTTATTTTGTTTAACTCCCTGAATGGTATATTATTTGGTTTATTCACCTTGAGAAGCTCAGTCTGACTTTTAAATGCTTTAGGTCTGAGGGAGCTTTGTAGTGAAAAGTGTTTTTAGGAAATTGATGGCCTAATATGTATCTTGTCCATAGTTCCACAAATCATTTAGGTCTGAGGGACCTTTGTAGTGAAAAGTGTTTTTTAGGAAATTGATGACCTAATATGTATCTTGTCCATAGTTCCACAAATCAGGCTAATTAAACATACTTTAAACTTGATTTTCCTACTTTTCCCATAAATTAATCTCAAGTGAAAATCCTTTCTGTTTTAAAGAAACCGTTCTGTGTGCACTTTGATGACTATTAACTTACTTGACACTGAATAAGATAATTTGCTTCAAGTAAAAATAAGAATTTTAGTTTCATCTCATCAGCTGTGTTTTAATTAAATGTTTCTATTGAATTTTTTCCAATAATTAATTTTCTCAAGATCATTCCTCAAGCCTTGAATACATGGAAAATTATAAAATTCTTTGATCATTTTTCTGAAGACAGCTTCTGTTTGAATTGTGACATAGTTCAGCAAGGTTTCTCAGAAAGAGTATTATGACTACATTTTTGTTCTTTCAAAATTCTGCTCATTTTCACTTACTTTTACTTTGCATTTTAATCATATTTAGAATTATACTTGCTAATTCACTCTCTTGGGCTATACTATCTGTAAGTATCATATATATACACATATAGGTGTCTGTAGGTACTCCAGTCTTGCCAGTTTCTGTATTTGTTTGGCAATATTAAATATAATTTTCCAACTGTTTTGAATACATTTAATAGAAACTTTATTGTAATTTGTTTTCCACTCACCTAGCATTGGTTTTTAAAGAAGAATAAATAAACACTGTGTTAGTCCAGAGGCCTGTAATTTTCAGAACTTCTTTGATTAATTTAAAACTTCCAGGAGCACCTGCCCATCCCTGCCCACCACAAACTTTCTAAGAAACAAACTCTGCAAAGCCAGAAAACCCACAAAAAATGTGAGGTCTATGTGCATTTTTTTTTCTATTGTTGCAAGTTTTGCTGAAGATTTTGCAAATAAGCTAGCAGTCACAAGACATGCAGACCGAGAACGTACATTTTTATCACAGGATCCTATTTCAAATATAATATTCACTGACCAATTAATTTAATCACTTCAGTATTACAAGGTAGTAAATACGCAATAAAACAACTGGTTTGAATACCCTTCCACTGGGAATTTGAGCTGCTTCACCTGTCCTCTCTCTCTGCACATACGCTGGTAAACTACACAGTGCTGGGGCCCATCTCCAGGTAATGGTGGTGGGTTGTCCCTGCTGTGATGTTGTTTGTACAACCTGATGTGGCTTCACACAAGCGAATTTTTCTGTAGGAATTTTGTTCATGCTTATCCAGATCTAGCTGATCCGTCCTGTGTCTAGAGTCTAGTACTACAGCATTGGTTCTGAGCACTTTTAATTTACAGTTGTAGCTCTGGCTCTGTAGGACTCTTGGTCATCTTGTTGGGAGCAGGCAACCATGGGGAGAGCCGTGGCTCCATCCTACATCATAGTGAATTGTATGGAAAGTTTCTTCTAAAAGTACAGTCTGAAGAAAAGCTGTAGGGGTTAGCAAAGGATGTCCTAGTAGGAAGAAACCAGAATATGCATAGAAACTCCATATATATTCTGCTTCTTCAGCAGCACAGATTTACAACTACATAGTTAATTTTCGCTTTTTTCAAAAGCATGCGTTCACTTCTATCCTATTTGATTTTCAGTAACTTTTCAAGTATCTGTTACAACATACAAACAGCTACTTCATTATTCTCATCATTGTATATTAATAACAAATTCAATTTGATTGAGTCCAGAAATTAGGCTCTTAGTAACCTCTGTGTTGAACAGCTAGAGTATAAATACCACCTTATTTCAATGTATGAAAATAAGCAAACTTATTTATTTATTTATTTATTAAATCAGGCTGGCTTATGGTTTAATGGAAATGAAGATCTGAGCATAACAGAAAGTTGCGAAGAACCTGTGTCTTCAGAAAGGCTAAAACACCTCATAAAGGTAACTGAAACCATTGGTATTTTGAAGAAATCACTATTCAAACATGATAGGTCTCATTTCAGAGGTTTTTGGGTCTCTTTTTTTCAATAAATGGTGCATTTTTTTGGATTTTTTTTCAGGTCAAGTGGTGCTTCAGAATAATGTAGAGAGGAATCCAAGAGTCATCCTTGAGCATTCTAAATCCTAGTCTGCTCAGAAAGATTTAATTACTCCTGCTCTTGGGTGAATGGCATTAATTTTGCTACACAGCAACTAGCTTTGTAAAGAATGGGAGGCAAATGATCACTGCATCTGAGCTCATAGAATTTTCCATGAAAGAGGGGACTAATAATAATCTCAATAAAAAAAATGCTTTAAACATATTTGTCATGATACAAGGTTTTATTAATTTCTATATTTTCTGTGAAACTCAATTTCTCTTTCCTTGAATTACTTAGCACATATTTATGATTTATCACAGCCTTGGTTTGTACAGTCTCAACATTCTCTTAAGCATAGTAGCTCTTATTAGCTGTAATTACTGTATTTCATGCTTTTCTCTCTACAGTCCTTGATTTGTATTTCATTTAAGTCCACGTATAGAAATTAATTTGCTTATTTTTGCCCTTTTATAGTTTTTCTTCCATTTATTTGCGGATACCGAAAAAGACCCTGCTCTGCTGGACTATACTGAGATGCTGCTTTATTTTGCCTCCCACTCTGATCCAGTTGAAGGTGTATACAGAGCACTTAGCATTGCTACTGGAGCAAATATTCACAGAAAAAAGAAAGCCTCCCTTCCACGTGTGGTAAAATATTACAGAAAAATACTAGAGAATAGTAGTAGTACTTTCAAATTATAAATTATCTGGATTTTTCTACATTTGCTTATCCTGGGCAGCTCCAATCCTTACAAGTAGTCTCACTGAATTCATGGGAACATTGCATTGGTCATAATACTCAGAAGGATTCTTTCAAAAGTCTGGAAATTTGCTTGCCATTAATGAAAGTTTAAGATGTTTACTGGTGATTGCTCCTTACGTATATGAATGGAAGTAATTTTTTTGCTTAATTGACCAGCTGTCAGTCCCCTGGAATTCGACTGCAGTGTGGCTTACAGTGATGTTATCTCGAGATGTAAGACCTGGTATTATTGCTGGTCTTACTTTATTTTCCACTACGTTTCTTTGGGGTATTCAGACACATCTTTGTTGTGTTATTTCCAATTGCTTAGGTTTATCTGTAAACCAGAAGGTATAATAATAATTTGTCTCATACAAAATCATTTTAAAATTATTTTTTCAGCCATGATGAATGCATTGTTAAATCAAAGAAAACTAGTCATCTGAACATTACTAGTATTTCTGAAGTATGTTTTTATTATTAAAGTCTTAAAATTGGAATTAGTCCACTGCATGCATCAGTTACTTATCAATGAATACTTATATTTATTGAAGTATAAGTCATTTTTGAGATATAAATTATCTGTACACACTTTGGAAAGAGTTTGCTGTTCAAGATAATAAAATGATTCATTGCCCTGTTGCAACCACAGTGACTCCAGCATTTGCCCAGAACTTAAAGTATAATTGAGATTTCTAGAAATAGCATAGCAAAGGCATTATTTTACTACGCAGGGTAATCATCTACATATGCAAAATAGCATTTTATAATTTCACATGACAGAAGTTACTATACTTCCCTGTGTTTTGTTTGGCATAACAGAGTTTTTGTACACTGGAGAGACTGAATGAGACAATTAGACAATGAGGCTTTACACATTTCATAGGAAGAAGGAGAGCACAAAGTGCTCCCAATTAGATATTGTGGTATTAATTTCCCATATTTTGGTGAAAAGTTCTAATTTTCGTCTCACTGGATATAAAACTACACCTTGTAACTGGTTCTCCTCTTTGCCATTTTCTGCTTGGTTTCACCTGTTTGGTTGGAAGTTTGGTGGTATATAAGTAAGAGACTGGCATTATCAACTATGTGTCAACACCTTCTTAAGGCTGTGAGTCACGAGTGAAGGGGAGCATTTGCCTTCAGCCCAGAATTAACTGGATCTCTGAGGAGAAATAGATGTCCCTTCTAACCTGAGTATTTCCTCATGCCTGCTTTCTCCCTCAAGGCATTGGCTCTGTGAATCTGTGCTGTGTCTGATCTGTGTTCCACAGTGTATTAAACAGACAGATTAAGTGCCTAATTCACCTTGGAGAGCCCCTCAGAAACCTAGGAATATCCAAGAATTAGATGTTAAACAAATCTTGCTTATATGGATTCTCTTTGACTTTATAGTTGTCTAGGCTGGTGCACAGAATCACTGGACAGATGTTCAAACATCATTTTAATATTTTATTTTTAAATCTTTTCATTTTAAAAATATTTTTATGCCTTTTGTTCCGTGCCTTTTGTTCCATTCCACTTAATGATAATGTTGAGTATGGACAGAAGGCAACAAAAGAAATCCCATACCACTGCAGTAAATGAGAGGGAGTAGAGACAGAATTAGTAGAGACAGAATTTCATTACGTTTATTCCACAAACACAAGGCAGGGAAAAGGAAATGGTGCATTGATATTGTGTCAGGTTTGAGCCAAGTGAAGGGGAGCATCAAATACACAGAGTCCTGAAGATAACCAAAGTGGTTTCAGCATCAAATTAAGAATCTAAACCTTTGTTTCCCTGTGGATGTTTACATGTCATTGAAATATCCCAATTCTCAGTCCAGGTACTGGAAATATTAGTAGTAAATATTATCAGTGGAACATTCATCAGTGAAATATAAAGAGCTATCTAGCTCATCTCTAAGAAGTTTTACACCTTAGGCAGCTGGCTCTTACATAGGCACTTACAGAATTTCACCTAATTTGCTGCTTCTCTTTTTCTTGTTCTGTGCTGGGACTTGTAACATCTTCTCATTGGTATCTGCCTGCACAAATGTATCTGGAGCCTTCATGTTGTTAAGAGAAGCTCAGACTAACATATTCTTGAAACTTCTTTTGCTAACTTCATTTTATGTCTAAATAATGTTATTATTGGTTGTGTAGGTCTCACAGCTTAGTGTAAGCAATGCAATGACAGGCCAAAAAACTTCAGTACTGATATTTCTGTAATCTTGATTACTGTGTGTTAAAAAGAATGGAAAAGACTCTACTCCTCCTGTGCTCAAAATGAAATGCACTAAGGCCCAAGGCACACAGCACAGGTGTGACAGAACCTCAGCAGTCTCCCCCTCCTAATGAGGAAAGAAATGGTTTGTTCAATTACATGCAATTTCCTGTTGCTAGTGGTTAGTCTACATTGTGATGTAATCTAGTCAAAGCACTGTTCACCTGTATGAGGTCCTTTCTCATCTTTGTGTTCACAAATCTCTGCAGCAGGTTTTTTTTTGTTTAGTTTTAGGGATTTTTTTCTCTTTGACCAGCTCTAAAATTATCAAATTGCTTGCTTAAAGTAAACTTAATTTTTCTGCATAAACTAGAAAATACCTGTTCCTGTGGAGAGCTGGTTAACTGTCGAGTTCTTGCAGTGACTGGATTTGGACTAGAAAATTCATGCTGGTTTTATTCATGTGAACATCCAGAATTACCAAGTTTACTCCTTAAATAAACACAAATTTATTGGTATTGTAGTTAGTAACTATTAAATATTTTAATGTTTTGTTGCTCTTTTCATGTGAACATCCAGAATTACCAGGTTTACTCCTTAAATAAACACAAATTAATGGTATTGTAGTTAGTAACTATTAAATATTTTAATGTTTTGTTGCTCTGAGAAATACTGGATTTTCTGTGCAATGTTGGCCACATTCCTGGAAAAAGCTATCTATTCAATTTCTGGTCATGCCAAGATTATGGCTATTTCTAAACTGTCAGGATTTTTTCCTCCATCCTATGGTGAAGTAGACAATTTTGTGTAAGTTGATGATTTTTGTTATGTAAGAACTGAAGTTTGGAATTGTAATCCATTGGTTATTAATTGGGGTTTTTTTAACTGAAACAGATCATCTACTGACAAACTGTTTATCCCCAAGTATGATACCTGTGCCTAAATTTTTAGGATTCTTCAGGTCCCAACATATTGTCAAATGAAAAGACTTTAAGAGAGGATGAAAAAGAAGTCTTGAATTACACAGGTGAAGAAATTATTTCAGTGGCATCTCTACTCAAAGTGTTTCATACTGGAGGAAGTAAAGATGAAGACTGCCATAGATTCAGCTGTCTGGAGAAGGCAGACAGCTATGATAAGGTAGGCAGATTGATTCAAGGATGGTTTTGTAGCTTGAATCATATATTTAAAAAAATGCTGTGATCTTTGCTTTTCCACAGTTTTTTTGTTTTGTTTTTTTACAAGAAATGACCGCATATTATTTTTACTTAAAGCATTTCATCAAGATGTACCAAGAATTAGGTGCTGAAGATCTGACACCCATTGCATTTGAACTCCTTTTGAAGCATCCTTTCATGGAAAATTTGATTAACACATGCCAAGAATACAAACTACCTGTAAGTATTCCTGTCTGGGACCAAAGACTTTGTAAGCATACATGCTTGAATTTGCATTGTCCAAGAAACATACATGTAATTAATGCAGATACTGCCAATTCACAATGTAAATCAGCTATACAGCCCTGCAGCTGTTGGGTAGATCAGGTTTTTTGTTTTCTGTGAAAATTCCATCCGTCAAAGACTGGACCACTTTCGGACCTGTTTATTGTGCAAGTCTTGCCTGCCACTGTCTAGAGCTTCCCTGCTCCCTGCACCTATGTTTAAACATACATTAACACAGTTGCACAAAAGGCAAGTTTGGGCCAAAGAATCTCCCTATTTAAGATATCAAACTATGGTAAAAGTACTTGATACACAGGGTGTAAGAAAACAGCATGAGAAGATGAGAGGATGCTTGCATGTGCATGTCCCAGCTCAAATGGGACAATAAACAGTAAATAAACGATAAACAGTCTTCACAAGTTTTAGATTATCAGCCCTGTAGCATCCCACAAAATGTAAATCTGAATAAGATACATGATAGCATAAAAGTAACTTGCTGTTTCTTAATTTTATTCCTCACTTGTAGGATGCAAATTGCCCAGCATTTATTGTATCACTCATAAACGTTGACAGTAAAAGATAAAACATAAGAATAAAATAATAAATTTACTCAGTAAAAGTGAGGGTTAAAAATCCATTTGCTACAGTAGAATGTGATAGAAAATGCAAGACAATGACAAGACAATAAAATTGAAGATTATAACTATCCATGTGTGTCCATCCTGCCTATGATGATGTCTCAGTCAATTTGGGAAGACAGATGCCATGCAATGTTAAGTCATTCCTCACTTCCATTCCCCATTCTTTCTTCCTGACTCTTTTTATTTAATTGAATACTGCATTTTCTAATTTGATTTTTTTCCCAACCTCTCTGAATTTCTTGTAGAACCAAAGCGTTTTTTAAATCAGCTCTCTAGAGCTGTTGTTTACATAAATGCTCACTGACTTTGTAGCATTTAATATAGTGCAGCCTTTTCATGAAGACCAAACACGATGAAACCTAAAGTAAAATTTAATTAGGGTGCAAACTGAGAAAAGCCTTACCTATATGCTGGGCAATTTAGAGAGACTCTTTGTTAAAATGTTTTCACACTGGCCAATGGCTGAAAATCAAATGCACCATATTTATTGTCTATTAAAATTTCTGATTTTCCTTTACCATTTTTAGGAGGTACTTTGTTACGTAGCTTAAAGAGTAGATTGTAAAACATGTTTAAATTATATTAGCTGCCATCAATTACCTGTGTTATTTCTGGCTGGTAGGATATATTCAGGGCAGTTCAGGTATAAAAATTGCCAGTCTATAAGAAAAGCTGCAGGATAGTGCATATGAATCTTGGCAGTAACTGAGGGTTTCAGTGCACATACTCTAGCCCAGAGGTGCTCCCATCTTGTTTATATATTGGTATCATTCCACTTAAATGAGACATTTTCCCACTTATTTGGCATGTTCTGTTGATTCCTGTATCTCCTGACTCAACAGTTAGGTGATGCAGAGCTTCAGTTATCATTTGTAATACTTAAAACTTCCTCTTGAAAAGGTTTATACTGACTGTATCTCAAATATAGTACACTATGTTTTCTGTACTTAAACCCAAACTATTTCATTGCTTGACTGTACTGTTAAATACAGAGTTTTGTTTTATGCATGACATCAATACTCAGGTTTAGCAAAAAACTTTTATATTCACCAGCAAACAGGCATAAAGACCTAGGACCCATTGTTTTAAGTATGTTGCAATTCTGGTATATTACATACAGACCAAAGAAGATTTTTCCTGTATCAATTCCCTATTTGGGGAACAGGTGAACTTTTTTCTTTCCAAGAAAATATTTTTAGCATCAATTATTTTTGCAAAAATTCTCCTCAGAGATTTCTATAAAAATGAAAGTCAACCACAGTGCTGTTATTTTGAGATCTTTTACAAGATAAATATAGCAAGTCAGGGTGTGGTTTCTCAAAGTTAAAATGTTTGTACTCATGCAGTCATAAACAGCAGAAAGTAAAATGTTTTGCTGAAAACTATAAAGGGAACATCTAGCTTACAATTTTTTCCAGTTCAAGTTAGGATACCTGATTCTTTTGGATCTTGATGACCTATTCAATTTAAACCATTATTATCTGTCATATCTCAAAAAATTATTTTTTTCCATGTGAGATTTATTGTCTTTTGCAGAGATTTTGTTTTCTCTGCTAGTGGGCTGGCACCATCCTACATAATGGTGACCTTTCTGTCAGCCTTAGGACAAATGTCTACAAATTAATATGTCCAGAAATTCTATTACTTTTTCATCTTGTCTTTTCTGACCTGATTACAAGGTTTTCTGGTCCTAACTAGAACTTTCAAGTGTTTGCCAATATCAACACATTTTTTTCACTTATCAGATAAAATTTATTCCATGAGAATAGGCAGATGACACTTACATGTGCATGTTTATGAAGGAACTTCATTAAATGCTCAATTAAATTTTCTTTGATTAACTTTAATAAATGAGAGAAGATTTTTATTACACCAGCTGATCAAAATGGAAAAGCAAGCAATCTGCTTTTTCCACTGCATGTGTTCATCTATTAGCTTTGGTCAATTAAGGAGTTTTCTATAGGCCTCATTATTTATTGCTGCAAATTTTACCATCTGTTCTGAGACAGTCACAGATATGGTAATTTAGAAACAACCACATATTTTAGTAATTCTGCATTTTGATTGTGATAAATTTAAAGAAAGAGTCTGGGATATATTCTACTTCTATAATTCTTAATGCCTAATGCAGTATTTGTTACTTTGAGTAAACTGCATTCTTATAATCAGTGAAGATACGGTAGTTTGATAATTAGCATTCAGTTTATTAAAATCAAAACTATTATGCATTGGATAAATTGCATTCTATTTCTTAGTCTGCTTTCAAATCCTGAATAGTCCTTTTAAAAAAGCACTTTTATTGAAAATAGGGATATCACATCATATTTCTGGTATTTATGTTTTGAATACATTTAGCACAGGCCCTTGCATTATGCTTGTTCCATCTATATTGTTTGTCATATGGTTAGTGCTGTTAATGTTGTTCATTCTGTTAACCACTTCAGTAACATAATTCAGTAACATTATGTTACTTCAGTAACATAATCCAGGTATTCTGTCAGATAGCAGTTCCACTGAAGCAGGATTTCTATTAATGTGTAGTTAACATGGCTTTTTAAAAAAATGTTTATTAGTATGTTGAAGAACCTGTCTGAACAAAACCTGTTTATACCTGCAGCAGCCATTTAACATTAACCAACAAACATTCAGAACTCCATGTATCATTTCACAACGTAAAAGAGCATCTTGTCATAGGGACTGTTCATACAGATTATATTAAATACATCTTATGAACTGGACCATGTGTCAAGGTTTTGACAGAAAAAAAGTACTGCTGAATCACTGTTTAGTCATAAACTGTAACTGTAATACTTATGAAACTGGAGTAGTTTTTTTCATGTGGTGTTTTAAATGTCCCAGTGTGCAAGAAAAGGAAAATCTAACTCAGTGTTTAAGTACCTAATTGAAAAAAGAGACCTATGTTATGCTTCTCTTGATGATGTATCCCATCCCTAAATAAATTTTAAAAATTTAATATACATAAAAGATGTTGTTTCTTATATTAAAGAAATATAAATAATATGTGTTCATCTTAAAAAAATGTTTCTTTCATTAAAGATGGATATAGTAAAACTGTTGGAGCACTCTATCTCCAGTTTTTGACAGCATTTAGTACTACATTTATTTTATTTTTTTACATTATATTTATATATTTTATGTATTTTACATTTATTATATCTAACCAGGATTGAAACTACTTTTGCTGACTCAACTTGCTGAAAAATTCCTTCTTATAGTGAAGTGTTTCCTAGAATCAAAGATAAATATTAGTGCAATCTTCTAAAACCAGTGAGTGGTAATATTTCTTTTAGCATAGTTCTGTATTCACTGAAATGCTTCTGGTATTTTGCAAATTTGTGAGGCATCATTACATACAGGCAGTTTCTACTTTTGAGAAAAGGTTGTATCTTCAAATTATGCACAAAATATATATTGCACTACATGTATATAAAAATACTACATATAAATTAAAAAAATCTGACTGTTAATTATTCTCCTAAAGGAAAAGATGTGTATTCTGACAGTATCAGGAGATGCTAGAAAGTTAAATACTTATCTTTATATTGAATGCTCAGCATGTTATTGTTTTAAAACAGAAATTCCTTGTTCATCCTACTTACACATCCTACAATGGATAGTATTGCTGAAATGGAAAATGGAGAAGATTCTGCTAATACAAAATTATTGAAAATTAACAAATCAGACAATATGGTATAAAGAACAAAGCATAAAATTAACCTGAGGTTATGTGTTATTCAAAGTATTAGTTACTTATACTTTTAGTATCTGTTCCCTGGAATTGTTGTTAAAGTTCGAGTCTGAAATATGACATGCTAAAAAAACCCCACTTGATTGAAGAATTTGTCTTTGTATGTTCTGAATAACATTTACTGGTTTAAACAGCACTCTTGATACCTCTCTTTACATATTAAGATGATGTTTAAGATCTCAGTTTAAGAGTTGCATTTTAACACAGTGTTGTTTGGTAGAACCACCAAAGGAAATTAAGTCCCATGGATACCATGAAAACATCATCTCAGTGATATTATAGCACCTCAGCTGAATGAGTTACAGTGCCCTGCTGGAAGACATTGTCTGTAACGTGGGGACTCTGTAATTTACCTCCACTGAAGTTAGTTTTTCACCATAATCTAGTCAGTGGAAAGCTCACCCCGAGGATAGACAGGTGTTATTACTGCAAGTTTTAAGGTGTTATTACTGCAGTTTTCAGGCTGCAACATGAAATTACTTTTAATATTTCCTTTTTCCTTTTCATAGGATATAAATGTCTTTCTCCAAAGATCCAAAGAAGCACAATCAACTGATGGGGAGCAAAACACATGTGAAGACATAAATGTATGAAAAATTACTGTTTATGAACATTAAGAAATCTTTTTTCTCCAAGCCTGTAAGAAATGTGTCTTACAGGTCCAGTCCTCTCTTCAATTAGAAAAGTTTTTTGTTTATTGTTGCAAGAGCAAAATCCCACTCCAACTACACATTTTCTGTTACTTTAAAATTAAAAAAAGAAAAACAACAAAACCACAAAATGGGAAAGTTATGGTTTGCTCATCTTAAATAGTCTGATGATATTTCTAAATAAAATTAAACCAGTTTCTAAACTTAAATGGAGGTGGTAGTGTCGTCATTAAGATTTGGTTAAAGAAAAGAATATGTCCAATTCTTCTAAATGTACTAAGATATCTATTCAGCTTTTGTTATATGTACAGTTTATTAATTAATTTTTAATTCATTAAATGCTGTAATCAATTAATCTTTTAAAGCATGTTGCAATTTCTAGTTAATAAAATAAATGAAAACTGTTTTCTCAAAGATCAGGATAAACTGGGCATCATGTTCACGAAAACAGAATGTTTGTTGACAGTGGAGATGATGAATCTTTGCCATTGAACCTTTCTATTTCTAACCTTGCAGTACATCTCAGCTCTACCACCTGCTAAAGACCTGCCTGCTGTCCTTTTTTTGTTGACACAGTGTGTTCAAGGGCACCACATAATTCAGACATGCTACAGATTTTTACGTGTGATAGGTGCTTGTCTAAAAATACCTATGGCACACCATGACACCTGGAGAATGTTGACTTCTCTGGCAGATTAAGCAGAGTCTTGGTCAAATGCTCTCCTTACAGCTTAAGTGGGTGTTTATTTTTCTATTTGAAGTGTGAGTGTTACTGGTTTTTCCCGTTTTTCCTTTTTAAATGCAGTTCTATCCAATTTCTCCATTCTCTTGTGTCTAGTGATGGCTGACTCTAAGTTGATAGGAACTATTTTTTCATGGACCTGTGTGATATACATTTCAGAATACTCTTTGTAAATAATTCCCCTGGATTTTAAAATGGAGTTGCATAAAAATTCTTGGTTTTCAGTGGTATTCTGGCATTCTTTTGATCTACAATGTCAAGTTTTTTGAAGACTAAACATAGGAAACTGGTAACTGTGATTATCTGAACTCAGTATAGGGTCTAATTTTCAGTCTGTCAGCTGCCCAAGATATTAGCAAACCTCCAGCATTCTACACTGACTTAGTAGCTTGTATCTGAACACTGCTCCTTCATTCTGGAGTATATTTTTTTTCTGCATTCATCTTTACTCTCATAAAAATTTCACAAATGTTTAAATGGTCTTTTCCCTGTTTTGATTCAGCAAAGTAGTTGAACATATGATGCTCTTTAAGAATACAAATAATCTCATTGAAGTCATATAACCCATAGGGAGCCACAAAAATTTCCACTTTGCTGAGAATGCTGTCTGCACAGAATCTTTTTTCATTTTAATATATCTTTATTACTTTTAGCCGAGTATGCATGAGATAGTATAGTACCCACAAATGATGATGTTCCTTGTGAGGTTTCTAGATTGCCTTTCTGAGTTATAAAACAATTCTGTATCAAAAAAAGCAATAGAAGCATATAAAAAAAGAGGAACGTTTAGACAACAACTAAGAGACCAGATAAATAAATCTGGCAGCAAATATTTTTTCAGATTTTTAGAACTTGATGTCAATAATGGCAGATTTATTTCTTTGATTAAAGACAGTCACATTTTGAAAGGAAAGTCTAGGGGTAGCAGATCAAAGCATCTATATGTGATATATGACTCTCAGAATAGAACCCAGTCAGCTTATCACTTCAGGCAAAAAATGTTAATGTCTCTTCAGTCTACATATTTTGTGCTAACCACACCAGCACAGAAACAGATGTAACTTTGTTGTGCCCCCACAAACCATGCTAAAACCTCAACATCCTCATTTTACATGTGACAACAGACTTCATGATATGCATACAAATTATTCTTTTTACCAGAATAATTTCTTCACATAACGTAGAAAATTTGGTCAGTTTTATCCCCAATATTTTTTTAAGCATAAAGTGTATATATTCACACAAGTATTTGGCTTTTTATTCCATATTAAATTATTACATGAATGGAAAAGAATTGCAATTTAGTTCTCTGCCTTTTGCTTATTTAATAATCTTTAAATTGTTTCTTTTGTTCCACATTTAGTTTCTTCTTAAAAACCAGCTTTAATTACCTTAGTGTTCAATTCTGACTTTGCACACTGGAGATCTCCATTAGAAAAAAAAAAAGGTATTATTTTCAAAAAGTCTTCTCTACAGTTCTTAAACCTGAGTGAAGGAAGAAGATTCACCTACTGAAAACCATAAATTTCTATTTAGGTAAGATTTTTCAAGTATTCCTCCTTTCTCATACACTGTTCATAAATTTTACCTGTGACTCAGAATGGAACATAAAATCATTACTGATAATGTTTGAAATTAAGTGCAGATTGCAGAGCAGTGTAAAATAGTAAAAAGTGAAGTAGGTTGTGTGAAGTGTCAGGCTTCATACAGTGAGCACATACTCCTCTATGGGAAAGTAAAGGTATAATTTACAAAGCAAAGAATGTGTGGCCTGAAAATTGCAATGTATTTTTCAACAGTTACTACTTGAGTATAGCTGAGTATCACAAGAGTTATTCAAGAGATTTTGAGTTCCCAGCCCAGCTGTGACCCAGACATGAAAGAGGTCCTTGTTTTTATGAAGGGGGAATGTTAAGTAGTTTTGCATTCAGATATAGCAGGAGAGTTGCAGTTATATCATGTTCAGCTTTTATAGCTACACTTCAAGCAGGATAGTTGAAACTAGAAAGTGTTCAGAGAATAATGTCAAGAATGGTAGGAAATCATGTATAAGATGTATAAGAAAGTATTAGGAACCTGGTCTCTTTACTTCACCTAAGGAAAATGTAATGGGATTTCAAATATCATTTTTACAAGAATCCATCTTCATTCTGGTAGACACTATGTAGATTAAATTGCTGGAACCCTTGGCTTCAAAATAACAAACAGATTTTGAATAGGGAAGTAGATGAACTGTTGAAGCAACTAGCTAAATGAGCCAATTTCCTCATCAGAGAGTTGTAAAATCCAGGTAGGTAATTCTTTTAGACACAGTTTGTGACAGGAACTAAAAGAAGAAATAACTGTCAATTTGATATTAACATACAGGTTTCAAAAACTGAACCAGAAAGGCTAGTTTGGCTTTCAGTTATTTGTATGCAACATGCTCAATCCTGTTTTCACAGTGTGCTGTCTTTTAATGTTTTATTTAGTCCTTAATTTCACTTATTTCAGATATTCTTGTCTATGCTGCACAGAAAATGCCTTGGATGGTTTGCTCTAGAAAAGATGAAACAAAGATTGTGTTATCAATACTTTCATAATAACTAAAATTTTTGTATTCCATCCCTGCAAAAATCTTCTTTCAAAAGATCTACAAACCAAAAGGTGTTGCTGAATTAAGATGTTTTCTATACTTTTATTATTTGGCATAAAATCTCCCAGCATAAGTCAATCTCAACATTTCACTCTGTACAGAACTCAGGCTCCATATTAGTATTTTTCAGGGTTATAATCCATTCCTTTATGTAAGTAGAATACCTCCAGATTTGTTCCTCAGAAAGCAGTATGGTACGGGAAGATTCAAAATTTTGCAATAACCAGAACACTTTAAAAGACAGTTATGTTTTGTTTTGTTACTTTGCTTTAAAATAGCTGAGTGATGTCACATAGTTGCCATAATAGCAAGTTCCTCCATCTGCTCTGTGGTCCTTACCTCAAAATTTCCACTGAGCATGAGGTTCAGACATGCTTTCTTTTTTTATTCTTTGTAGATGAAGCCAGCTGTTTTGTTAAAAGTCTCTTAGCTCTGCTGAAGTTTTAAAGTGTGTAGACAGCTTAAGAGAAGCTCTCCAAACCATTGAAAGAACAAAGTGGTAAACGCAATCTGAAAATCAAGCACACTACACAAACTTCTTTGCAATGTTTTAGTTATGAAATTAAAGCAACATCAATCAGAAAATTTCAGAAGTGGTAGTATTGTTAACTTTATCAATAAAAATTACCTGGGTTGATGCTGCTTTTATTCCCTTCAATAAATTCTATAACAAATATGCTTATTTGTAAGTAGAAAAGTGTTTGAATTTAACTCCCAGTTTTACAAAATATCCTTGGCAGTTGGAAGAAAAACCCCAACTATTTTCTTTAAAGTTAATTTTAAATAAAATGTGTCATGAAAATTCTGCAGGTCAACATCTCATCACAGAAGATCCCTGGAAATTCATGAATTGAGGTGCAGAAAGTTGCCCCTCTGGGAAGTGTAACTACTCATAATGATAATTGCTGAGGAGCAGCTGTGCTGAAAAGAACCTGGGGGTGTTGGTGGACAGCAAGCTGAACATGAGCCAGCTATGTGCCCTGGCAGCAAGAGCAGTTTTGGCACCTGTTTACAGGAACACAGCTTGCAGTAGATGGAGAAAACTCATTATCCTCAAGCAATTAACACTTATCATGTTTACAGTGATGACTACAGTTCTGGACCTCCCAATACCAGGAAGACATCAACACTCACATATAGGGTGCTTCTCACTTGCATCAAGACTTCACATTCAAGACTTCTCAGATTCTTGGCCTCGGGGCAATGCTTTGGACATCCTTACACTTCACAGTAGCAGAGTGTTGACTTAGTAGCATAAAGGCTTGATAATCTTCCAGCTCATGACTGTGCTACATTAATGTAACAAAAGTGGCTGTCTGTACTTCTTGAAAAACTTGTACTTATCTTGTGCTGTGAATGTTGTACCTGTTAATTAAAAAGTAGCAGCAGTATGTGTCAGGAAGGAGTTTGCCCACGCATGATTAATGGTTTAAATTAGGCAAAACCTTCACCTTTCCTCACTTTTCTCATGACAGAGGTTCACCTTTTGTTTGTTTCCAATACATGTGTGTGTATTTATATATCTGTGTGTATATATATATATTCATATATGTATACCTGCACACACCTACACATACATATGTCTACGTATATGTACACATATATACATACATGTATGCATAGAGAAAGCTAAAGCTTTTCTTGCTTAATTAGATGCCTTACGTTTTAGCTTTTATATTTTTCAGATTCTGTGCTGCTTTAGTGTGTAGTTCTGAGCTTCATATTAGGAGATAGTAAGC